AAGTGGTCCAAATACAAGGATATGTTAATGTAATGGCCAAACATATGGATGTCAAGCAAGTGCCTCCAGTTAGCAGAGTGATGTTTTTGCAAAAACAAAGGTTATTTCATATATGAATCTGATATGAAAAGTAATAAGTTGCAGAGCTATACAAAGTAAGGCAAAACTGCAAATGCTGTGGAGCGAATGGGCTGCCTGTGAGTGCCGAATGTGCATTTGTTATTGCTCCGTTTATATATGGATAAACGGAGCAATAGGACACTTGGAGTCCTATTTGAGGCTAGCAGCTGGCCTAGTTGTCTGACTCCTCTGTGTATTTGTAGCTCGCCTGGGGTGTCACTGGCGTTTTCCTATCACAACCACAGAGCATTGGGCCCAGAGAAATTCTGTTCAGTTTTTATAGCGGACAAAACTTCTGCCCAAGGTACTGTGATAAAGCAGGGCCCATGAAGTATCTAGCACCATGCTCCAGGTACTGCTCTGTCTGCCTCAGCTTTGGAGGAGAGGGGTAACACTTTGTAGCACTGACAGAAACCCTCTTAATGTTGAATGTCCTCAGATCCCTTTTTGTGCCAGAAGTCCTTCCAGGGTACCCTGTCCTCCTCTCCTTCCCCTCTTTGCCTTAATGCCTCTGTCGCATGCTGCCAAGTGCTCTCCCCTGCCTCTTATGGGGCAGTAGGGCTCCTACTAGAGTTATGGTCAAACTAGAAAGTAGAGATGAATCTCCCTCTTGCAAGAAAAATTAATAATGCCCCCAGCTATTTTAAAGTTGAATCTTTTGGAACCTGCTATACAGGCTGGATTACTCCATTCGGTTCAGGTAAAATGGCCATACTGGTTTCTGTCCTACAAGCAAAGCTTGGCAAAACGGGGACAGGAGGAGTACTTTCAAATATGCTACCATCAATTTTTGCCCCATTCACCTCTTAAACTGATATGCAGTTTTCTAGTTTAATTGATAGTCTGCTGGATCATTTTATTTTTCACGCATGGTTCTTGTGACTATATATGACGTAGCTCTTCATATTAGTACTGTTGGTCCTCAGGGTCAGTTGTTAAGAGTTTCCAGGGAGAACAGATTTGTTACATTTAAAGTTGTTCACAAACTTTTTGTATGCTTGGTTTGCCTTGCTGAGAAACTGCTTAGTACTGTGTTTGAAAGAAGGCTGGGAGCTATGCACACCTCCTTAGCAGGGTTTACATATGACGGTGCTGAAATTTAACTCTGTCCCAGTCCCTGTGAGCACCTGAAGCAGGTGCAATTGCACTTGATTCATACCAATTTATGTAATGAATTAATGAATCAAAACATTAACAGCAACTGGCATTTGCATCAGCTGCACGCATCAGAGCTTGAACATAAAGAAAGGGCTCCTCTGAGTCCTTCTTAAATGTTTCTGAATCTGTCAACAAACAGTTGGGGACCTCCATAGGCAGCAGCTGGCCAGCTGTTACTTTATCATTTGCACTGCTGGTGGAACAGAAATCTGCAGGCTGATCTCCAGTGTGTTTAGCGCTAGAGTTGAGTCCTCACAACAGACATGTAGCCAGTGCAGAGTCCTGCTCATGCAGGTTCTCTTGCCAGATGGGGACGGGTACTCAGTTGTGTTCCTGCGAAAAGGAGGCACACCTCAAGGAAGATGCTGAATAACCTAAGATCTTCCTGGGTTTTCCTGTTGTGCCAGCAAGACATCTGTTTCGACCAAAGGACCCAAGTTTGTACTGACTTAGCCATATATGGCAGGGTGGTGGAAGCTATTGGAGGAATATAGGAGACTGTCAGCATGTGGGTATGGACACTATGCCTCATGAGACAATAAGCGGTAGAACAATCCCAGTTGTGCCTGGGCATTCAGACACTGGGCTTGCTGGGTACGCATGTCCGGATGTAATCCATCGAAGTGCCTGTGGCTTCCCAGGACTGATCACAACGTGGACAGCAGGTAGCACAGGCCAGGTTGAGGGACTCCTTAAACTGATTGTGAAGAAAAAACAGTGTTGGGAAGGGATGCAGGAACGTAGCAGGGGAGATAGGAAAGCAAAGTAGGGGAAAGATGTGTGTTTATATATGGTGGCACCAGAGGAGGTTATGAGACTGCAAACTTTAGGGTCAGTTACATCAAGGTAAAGAGAAGGAACTGATGTGGATGGGTGAAATGGGTTCGCTTCACAGGGAGAAATGGGAAGACAGGGTATCTGTTTTCTAATCTGAATGCCACATATTCAGTTTGATACCAAAATATTAGCCTCAGATTTTGAAGATACAGATGAAATACCTCTACTTCGGATGAATTATTGCTAGCTCTCTGACTGTTGTAGTTCAAGCACTTCCTTTCAAACTTCATTTTTCCTTCTTATGGGCTTTATAACCTGTTTCCAGAAAGAATATTTATCACAGCTGTCTTTAGCAGTTGTAAGTGTTACTTTTTCTAGCCAGCTGTTTTTGTTTTGTTTTCTGTCTAGCAAAAAGATTAAACTATTAAAAAAGTAGTCAATCCAGATTGTACCTTTTTTGTATATTTTTCAGAAATGTTTAGCAGGTGTTGCTATAGGAGGCAGAATGTTGAACAAGAAAGACTCAAGTCTGATTCTGTCAGGGTATTTCTGTTTCCATAAGATAGTTTCCAGTGCCCACTACTGGATAAAACCAATTTCATCCTAGTATTTTCTTTGTATAAAGGAATCATGGAATAATTAAACAAGCATGTGTTTGGAGATGCTCTAATATGTCATCAAGCAAATGGGAAATCCTTTCTTCTTCCACTCAGGTTTCAGTCTATTTGATACTTCCTAAAACTGGAAAAGGGTACTAATGATTTATGTATGATGTCCAAGTTTCACTGGCTATGGCTTTTATTTAATCAAATTTACTATTTTCAAAGAGATGACTATGTTCTTAACCATTAGCGTGCATACTTCCTCCAAATTGCTATCTGACTAGATCAGCAATATTTTCTAGTCTGGAAATTTCAGTGGCTAATGTTAAAATACTAAAAAAAACAGTTCTCCCCTTCCTCTTTTTTTTTTTTTTTTGTCCAGGCTTTCATTACTTTACACTCTCTGATAAGTCATTGCATTTACATTGCACTGATACTTTACACATTTCATATCTGAGCAGTAATTTTGATTTCCTGGTTTTCTGATCCGCAAACGTGCCACTTCTTTCCTGTAAGTTATACTGGATTTGCCAATTTGGAGAAACCCTCTTTTCCAAGTTGTGGTTGTACACCGTTTTCTGAAAATCTTATGGAGGTGTCTCTAGCTAGTCACTTTTGAAGATCTTTATGCTGCTCTCTTAATAGCAGCACAGGTCATGAGTGGATATTGCATTATAATGCAGTCAAATATTAGAAATATATTTAAAATATAAACAGTATAAAATGTAACAATCAACTTTGAGGATAAACGTGAAAATTTCAAGTACCAGAGACTCCTAACTATGCAAACTTGAATTCTCCTCTACTATTTTTTAAAGCCACAGGGTAGCACAGGATATTCCTGATTTTTGAGGAACCTCCTGGGGATAGTCCAACCCAGTATTTCAGGACTAACAGAGCATTTTTAGAGGCTAGGGTTCATAGACTGGCACATGGTTTATTCACTCCCACAACCAGATAAAACAGCTGCTTGCCCCCTCTATAAAGGCCTCCGATAGTACCACCTCCAGCTCTCCATCCCACTGCTCGGCCAGCAGCTGCCACCCTCATGGCAGACGGGGTGGGCAGAGATTTCGTTTTTTACCTTCTCTAGACTTTTCATCCTCTTTTGCTGCCTGGGTTACTACCAGCTAAGGGAAGTATCAGGCAGTTGTGAAAATGCATTTGAGCTTACACCCTGTGGTTTCCCCTCCAGGTGGTGATTAGTTATCTACACACCTCTTCTGAGTGACCAGATTGGTGTTAGATAATGACACACACTCAGCCTGGGTTTCTGTTATTCCTGAGTCCTCATTTCTCTTCTCATCACCAGACTCAGCCTCTAGAGGTGAAAAATGGGTAATTAAAACTTGCCTTCCCTGTCACCTGTCCCTTGCGCTGGTATGCAGCCTTCTGCGTGGTAGAGCCAGCAGCTGCCTGGATTGCTAATGCCTCGTGGGGAGTTAGCTGAGGAGGGGAGCTTCAATTCCTACGCCCCTTCCTATGGATAAAGTGGTGCATATGCATGAGTATATGCAAAGTTGGGGCTGAGCCAGCTGACTTTGTACAAAACCTGGAATTTTTGAAAGGTATTTCCAAAAAAAGGGAAATAATAACCTCAGATGATTTTTTTTGCGATGGTGATGGAAAAGAAGGAGGTAGGAGGCAAATAACTGAATTATTATTTGAGAAATGCAGCACTTCCTAGGTTAAAAAAAAAATCAAGGTATCATGTTCACACTCGGTGGCTGGAATACTTGTCCGTTCAGTTTGAGGTATTAGATATGATGTGAACCCAGCAGTGGCAAAACCTACGGTGTGTTTGCACAGACAGAGTAAGGCATGTACAGCTCAAACCCTTCTTACAGAAATTAACCACCAATGCAGTTCCTGTCTAAGCTGAAGAGCCTTATGCTGCATTCCCATGTGTTCTATTAATATGCTCTCCAGATTTTATTTTACCAGAATGATTTTTATGGAGGCATAAAATGTACCTAACACTTTAAACTATCTTATCACTGGCCTGTTTTACCTTTACATATAATAACTCAGTAAAACTTTAAAAAGTATTGAGCTGTATTAATTAGCCTTGTGGGTTGTGCCAGCTGTGGCAGCATAATTGTCGACAGGAATTTTTTTCGCAGCATACTCTATCAGAAAATATTCACGATTACTAAACTGTGTTGGTATGTGAAACCATATGGTGTTTTTGAGCTGCTTGGTTACTGTGGAGGATAAATAGCTCCTGACCCCAAACAGGATCTTTTCAAGAAAAAAAGTCCCTATTCCATATAAGGCATGGGCAGGCTTACTTGACTAATAAAAAGGGGCGTTTACAATTTCCTTCTGTTGAGCTTGCTCCAGCGGTGGTGGCAGAAGGCTGAAGTTGCACTGAAATTACAGCTGCTCATCCCCACTGCTCATCAGAGAAAGTCAAGACAGGAGGCATCAGGTGACAATCAAAAGCTTGGTCATGGGAAAATCAGGTGAGCAAATACTTTGGTGCAGTTGGCTGTGTGTTCTTACAATGCCATTGCCTGGTTTTGTGCTCCAGAAGCATTACTAAAACGTTAGTGGCTTTGCTCAGAGAAAGCTGCTTTCATTTGTGCATGGTATAATCTGGGAGGAGCTTTCTTTATGACACAGTGAAAGGCAATTGTTAGATTAAAAAAGCAAAAAAAAAAAAAAACCAACCCCAAACCTGCACCATATAGAAGAAAAGTAGCTGTATTTTATTACTTTTTTATACAGTTTACATTTTGTAGCTGATAAAAGCTTTGCTTTGCTGTATAAAGTAGCTGTACGGTGTTCAGAGAAAGAAAAATTATAAGCACTGCAGCTTTACAACCATGTTATCTCTAGCTGTCTGGAAAAACTTACCTATGTTGTAGATGAGCGACAGAATGCTTCTTTGAAGCACAGAGATTAAAAGCATTTTTATTGCCTTTTTTAATTTGCTTTTTTGGAAGGACTTAGATTTAACATCTGGTTACAGTTTAACTGAGTACAGTCTTTAACTTTGCCAAGCCCAAGGGTTGCTCCAGAGCTGGGCGGATCACTGTGAAGGCAGTGGATTCCCTCCTCTCCGCTGGCTGTGGATGGCAGCCTGGGTTCCCCCTCAGCTGCCACCCTTTGTCCCCATCCCGAGGTCTGACGTGCTTCCTGTGTGATAGATGGAGGAAAACTTGAAAGTGGCTTAGAAGTCAGAGGCATGAAGAAGGGAGCTCGTGCCCTCTGGCCTTGTTCGTCTCAGTCCTGTTAGAGTCACGACCCATCTCTGAGCCTAGTGGGGGTATGCATGAGGTTATTGACTGGCAAACAAAAGCAGGGCTAGAGTTGAAACATCTGTGCTCATCTACTGCAGCTGTGGTGGAACTGGATAGTTGCTTTTTATTCTTGTAGTTGGGACATTATTTCCATAGCAAATCAGAGCCTGCTGGCATAAAGTGTCTGTCCGGTACGTAAGCAGAATGTATAGGACGTGTTCAGTAGAATCTGGTACTTATTTCCGCTTAAAAAATGCAGGCCTCTTCCAGTGAAACTTGAGGAAAATCTTTCTTAAAGTAACTCTTTAACGGGCCTCAGATTGGGCATGTTGAGGTTTTTTTCTTTTTCTTTTTTTTTTTTTTTAAATGGCCAGCATCCTGAATGGGTTCTGAGCCTTACTGAAAATGTCCTTATTAAAGGGCTTGCTCTTACTCTAACTAAAGCTGCTGCTGGAGCAGTTTGTAGCAGTAATATGACACCCAAACCAGGCTAAACACCATATAGCTGCCACTGTGCTTTTGGCCCTCTGTCCTGGGAGCTGCAGATGTGTTCAAATGGATTAGGCTTCAGTACATAACCTTACCGTAATTTATAGTAGCTTCAGAAGTCATTCAGAAGTGTCAAGATCAATATTTCCTTGCTGATAGCATTAAAAAGTACAAATATCAGATAAATCTAGCAGCTGTGTGTTGCATTAGCAAAGTCAATGGGACAAAAGTAGTGGAAATGTTACATTGTGTCCCTCACAATCCTAAATTGATTAAAATCTCCTCTTATATTAGTATATGTACAGACTCTGTTTGCAAATTTCTGATACAGTCATAAGGCAATGACTGCTCACTTAACTGTTATATTCCCCTCCACCCCCCACATTCATTACTGAACATCAGCTGTTTGTTCCAAAATTAAAAGCAACAGCACTAGAAATTCCTTTTGCCAGGGCTTGGGTATTTTTTGCTTCTCTGAGTTGCTATACAAATAGTGCTTGAGATCTAAGTGGTCTCTGACCATTATGTACTGATTGAGGTATTTTGAGGTGAATCATAAAACTGAAATCCTGTCTTGACAATTGGTTTTTTGACTGCCGTTTCCATTGCATTGATGGCTAAGTTCCTCTTCTGATCGTTCAGTGTTGTTTACTTTCAAAGTGGCTGCTCTTACCCATTCAAAGAGCACAGCTTCCTCTGTGTGTTGGGTAAAATTACTCACGTTTTGCTACACAAAACAGGCATTGGAGGTGCAGGGGGATTTCTCTGTACTAGGCTGTGGGGAAAAGTAGCAAGGTGGGACCTGCCTGATCTCTCAGTGACCTCCAAACCGGGTGCTTGCCCTCTCCTGCTCGCTGGGACCAGAAGAAGTAGGGTAGATTACCTGAAGGTGTGAACGTAAGAGTGCTCTCATTCATGTAAACTAAGGCCCTCTACTTTAAAATAAAGGTCCTCAGAAAAGTTTCTTTAACTTTTTATCTTCAGTCAGTCTGTCTTGAGGTATAAGCATCCTCAGACAAACAAATCCGGTTGTTTTAAATCTCGGAGGCCTGTCAGTGCATTTTGATAAAAGCTCCCTAACAATGCGTTGTTATTAGATGTCGGATTGTATTTGAAGCATTGTTCTTTGCGACTGTTAGAGCTAGAGACTCAGCATTGGTTTTGCTTCATTTAATAAAACTGAATGTTTGAAGAAATTCATACTTCTGCCTCAGCTTTCTTGCTTGGAAGCTGCAGGCTGCTAAAACCAAACTCATACTGCAGCTGCCTCCTCAGGTTTAGGAAAACATCTCCTGGGGGGATAACGCCTGCAAATACTTAAGCAGAGCATAGGGACCCCCTCCATCTTCCTACCAGTCTTGTTTTGTGGGATGGCATTTGGATTAGCAGGCGGTGCGAGCTGCCCACCCCGCAGATCCCAAATTGAAGAAGCCGCTGAGTGTTTTCCGGCAGGAAGTGAACTTATGGTGCGCTGGCTGTGCTGCGCTGCGCTGCGCTGTGCAGTGCCGTGCCTTGCTGTGCTGTGCCGCTGCTGGGACTCGCGCCGTGGCAGGGCCCGGGCTGCCCGGCAGCCGCGCGTGGTCCTGGAGGCCCCGCAGTGGAGAGCCCCCCAGCTCAAAGGGATAGCCATAAGGCCAGCTGGTAACAATGTGCTGGGGAGCAGCTGGTGGCTGGCTGCGCTCCGGAGGGCTGGGGTCGCAGGCTCCGATGAGGCTGCGAAGGTGGCAGGAAAAAGGCTACAGAAAGTCTCATTTCCTTCTGCTTCTCCCCCAGCTCTGCATGCTGGGGGAAGGGACCGTTCCCTCTCTAAAAACCAAGCAGAGGCGATGGCAAGGGAGTCGCTCCATGACTTCTGACTACTGGTATGCTAGATATGTACACTGTACAGATCTATATGCTCTGGAGTATGGTAGAGCACGCTATCAGAGAAAGGCAAGAAAAGGCTCAGTAAATATTGGGTATCTTCTTTGTGTTTGGTTTTCTTTTTTTTCTGTCTCTGTGGGTGGAACTCTAGAGAAAGAGCTGGGAGTTACCCTTTATATTGCCAGTTGAGTCAATACAAAAATAAATAAGGGTCAAAAAAAGGCTTTAACGAAGGAGAAGAGACAGCCAAACTCAGTGCAGTTTTCTTTTTTTTTTTTTTTTTTTTTTAACGTGCCTTTGAAACATGCGCTGCTTTTTAACTTTAAAGATCCATTTTGGAGCATGTAGAAAGGGCTGTGGTGTTTTCTGCCCAGAACTCCATCTTCCGCAGATGCAGAGTGAGAACTTGTACTCTTGAGTCGCACTATGAGGCAGCTGTAGCGGTTCTTAAGTACAAGTTTACTGGAGACACAATCTGTTCGTTTTCTGAAAACGTGTCACGCTCCAGCTGCCAAAATGACAACGCATTTTGTGTTGGCTATTTTTACCAGACCTGCTGGGAGAGAGGAAATGAATAACTACTAGCAACCAAACATTAGTGTATGGTAACATTAGGGCATTTGCAGAACTTACAATTAATGCCACTTACTGCCTGTGTCTCTTTACAACAACACTGGATTTTGGAGGTGTGGCGTGAAAAGCGCCTTTCAAAAGTCAACTGAATCCATTCAATTAAAAAGCACCACACTTTTCCAGTTTTTGAGTGTAGAAGTTGCTAAATACGTCATTCAAGGATTATAAATACAGAAAATCTGCTAGGAGGGCATCAGACTTTGGCAAACAATATTCTGGGCCGAACTTGCACTTGTCTTGTACTCCCAGGCTGGGCAGCGGAGAGGAGGGGAATGCGGACAGGGGCCTGTTGCACGGCCGCCATCCTTTGCAACAGTGGTGACTCCCTGTTAGTGTTAGATTAGTAGTATTAGCTCCTAATGCTCAAGGCTGATTAACCAAACATCACGGGGCTCACAAAAAATAAGACAGAATGTAATAGTTTGCAGTACCCAAGATAGCTCTCCTTTCCAAATTCTCCAAGAAATCTTTTACAAATCTTATTCATGCTTAATTAGATTTTTTTTTTATTACAGGAATCAATGAAAACATTCAACCCAGGGCCTTAGCTTTCTGTTAGTTCAGCTGGTAGTTTCTGTCTGGTTTGGATTAGAATTTACTGTAGTTGTTGCTCTATGGTGGGGGGAAAAAAAAAAAAGGGAAAATGAGTTTCTTGGTTTGCTGAGTTGTTTGTTGCACGTCTCACCAGGGCAGAAGGACATTTCAGATAGCTATACTGGTAAAGGCCACTCTGCTCTCCGAAAGATTAGCTGGCGCATATCTACATTGTGTTTTTACAGGCAGATGTAAGCAAGTTCTGCCCAGTCTTCGAAGGTCTGAACAGGAACTGTATCTGATTTGGGCTGTGTGGCCCTATTGAGGAGGATGAGGTAAGGCCAAGCATGTGGCTAATGATTCTGGTTCAGAATTGGCTCTTGTGCAAATAAGTATGAGCTTTTAAGAGACTGTAGAAATATCCTGGGTGTTTTGAAGGAGGACAGTGTGAGCCTATCTAAGGCTACCGCAAGTATTATTTAATGTTGACTGAACTGAAGTTACCAGAGTGAGTCTCAGCTTTGCATAGAAATCATGTGGGCTTTGCCTGGTCTTAGCTTT